CAGGAAGGCACAGATCTAACCCTGTCTATCTGGGATTTATCATGGTCACACCCAGCCCAGAGCTGGCTCTCCTGAGCCTCAGGTAGCTCTGGAATCTCTCTAGGATGGATGGATGGATGGATGGATGGATGGATGGATGGATGGATGGAAGCCCAGGGCAGTTTCTCCTCCCTTCCTGCCAGCTGGGTGATGCTCCAGGCCCACCCCTCTTCCTGGCAGCTTAAGCGCACTCCAGGCTGGCTGCACCTCACTCCCTCCTTAGCTGCCCTCAGGAGGCAGAGAACCTTTCTTGCTCTCCATTCCAGGAGACACTGACCATTCTGGCAAGTTTTGTACTATATTTTTAATAAATTAGCCCCAAATTTCATTTGCATGGATAAAAATAGCATCAGCTGCTCTGCCAAGCCATTTTTTCTCTTGGTTAACACATTCATCCAAGCTGCTCTATTTGTCTTTCCTCCACAGACTCATATTCTTCTGGATTCATTTTGTCAAACAAATTGCACAAGCTGGACTGCCCATTTACCCAGTGCTGTTTGATTACAGGGGTTATTTATGAAACAGCAAGACATATGGCATTAAGCTTCTTAATAATAATAATAATGAGAGAAGGGAAGGAGAAAAGCTCTAGAAGAGAGGAGGGAGAAAATGTTTTTTATTACAGACAAAAGCTCCTGCCATCGGTGATAAATTCCAGACACTTTTTCCAGTTGCTCTTGTGCTGCTGGAATGATGAATGGCACAGGCACTCAGCTCAGGAGCGTGGCCATGGGAGCCAGGGTAAGGAGGGAGATGCTGGAGCACACACAGGTGGTGGGGCTGGCTCAGGCGTGCAGGGACCACTGGCCACCAGGCACTTCACAGCCCAAGAGGTCACAGAAATGCAGACTCCACTCAGCCCTGTCTTTGAACCCGATTCCCTCTCTTCTCTCTAATGCAGTCACTTATCCCTGGGACCACTCCATTCACCACATGCAGAGCCCAGCTGGCTCCCTGAAGACATCCCCATCTGACCTGGCCATCCTGGCTCTAATGGTGACTCACTGCAATTCAATCAAAAGTTCTGTGTAAGAAAGATGCTCAATTAAGGGCCTAGGAGACCTTGAAAGCAGAGTCATTTCTACAAGAGGAAGGTAATTAACTTTTTTAATCAGTGGGCACTGATCTCAAGGTCTAGTGAAGAGAGAGAGAAGCAAACTCACTCCCACAGACTCAGAGCAGAGCCCTGTGATGTCACTGGAGGTCTCAGGAAGGGCTGGAAACTGGACTCGGTACACACCAACCTGCAGAGCTGTTCCATCACCTCATCCTTCTCCCTGATGCCATTCCCCAGGGACAGAAACGCCTTCACCTTTGGCTTTCCCTTCTCTACTTACCCCAACACAGGAAAACACACCAAACTTCCAATCAGAGCAGCATCAGTGTCTGGAGATAATTCCTCAGCATCCCAGATTCCCTCACTGTCTTACAGGGAAGGCTCTGGCAATGGGATAAAGAAGCTCAAGCACCAAGACTAGAGGCTTTCCCCTGGCACTTGCAAATGTCTTGTAGCACCAGCCTCAGATCCTGCTCTCGTGTTCATCAGCTGGCACAGACCAGGGTGCTGGGCAGGCAGAGTTAATCAGTTTGTGATTACAATGAACTCCTGCACTTCATGGCCTGCATCCTAAACCTGCTTTCCAATTCCCCAAGGCAGAGGGATTTACACTTTCAATTTTATGTCTAGTTAGTTAATGGTCCATTACTGTCAAAAGGATCAGTAGCTAGAAGTTAAATCCTACAGGATTTATGATAAGGAAGAACCAAAGGCTGCAGAAGAAAACATGCCAGAGGGGGAACAGAGAACATTGAGGGCTTTGTAGGTCCTCAGTGCTGTGACACTGGTGACAGAACACTTGCTGGTGACAGCTCTAGAAAAAGGCTCATCCCAGAACTTTTCTCTTACACACTGTACCAAATTTCTGGCTCAAAAACTCAGGGCAAAACAGCAGCTTTGGCAGGACTGCAATGGGTTTGCCTTGTTCATGTTAAATTCCTGCCCCCTCCCCATCAAGGCACTAAAAGGGCTCCACTCCCTTAGCAAGATAAAGATTTCTGCAGTACACACGAGCCTGCCAATAAAACATCTGTCTGTTCTGCTGCTATCCCTGAGATCCACAGCAGTGCTCCAGACAGAGCAGGGGTGTTAAAGCAGCTACACTGAAAGGTCTGTCAGCACTACAGAGATGGCTGTGCAGGGGTTTATAAACCTGCCCATAAAAACTCACTCCAGGCTGAAGGATAAACAAGGTTCCCAGGCCTCTGAAGCAGAGAATCATTCTTTTCTTTTTGTTTTGTACACAAGGAAACATTTCTTTTTTTCTGCTGGCTGAGGTTTACTGAGTGGTAAGTGGTGCCAAAGAGACAGAGTGTGGTTAGATGGGAACTGGAAAACATTTAAGTGATCAATGGACAGTTCCTTGTTGTGTTTAGCAAGGGGTTGGAAATTATTTTGTAGGTCAAGGTAACTTGAGCTACAGACAGGCAAAAAGCACTGTGGAAGTACAATACTGAGGTCTACAGCCATCCAGACAGATTCAGACATCCACATCTGCAGAAGATGGACGTGTTAGACCTGGAAAAACAATCGAGGAGAGCTCCCAGGTCTAAGCAACTCACTTCTTCACCACTACACAAGGATGTGCCAGCAATATTGCTGGTTCTGAAAAGCCTGGGACAGAGAAGGAAGACTTATATGTTATAGAACGACTTTTCCCAGTGATTCTATTCCTTTTCCCTGCCAGCATTCCCCACAAGTCTCCCTTACCCCTCTGATGCAACCATAAAACTTGGAGGAGCCCATTGCACACTCCATGCACATTACTGCCAGAATTCAGAAGTTGTTTTCATTTAATCTAGTAAACTGCTGGGAGATCAGCAGATTTTAAGGGGGTTTTTTTATTCCCCTCTACTTTCCATACAGCTGGGAGTGTTCCTTCCCACTGAAATCTCCACTAAAGCCCCGCTTCAGTAAGTCAGGCCTAAGAGTATGTACACAAAATAGCTGTGCAGCTCATAAAGCTCACTTTCTACCCCACCAGGGTACACCAGGCTAAGCTCTGAAAAGCAAGAAGCATTAAAACATACAAAATAAATTAAAGCCCGCCCTACCAACAGCCTGTAGTCCGTCAAGAAAGCTCAGGACTCGTGGACTGTGTCATTTGTGTTCACCTACAAGGAATTTGCGGTCAGCCCGAGCCTCCAGTACCTGTGAGCGCCAGCCCAGCGAAGAGCAATGCTGCTCTCTTGTGGTTTTCGGCAGGATCAACACCCGACCTTTGCTTCTCCTCGCCGCTCCTTCGCTGCTTTCGCTGTAAATTCCCTGGATGGAGCAAGCCGGGACAGTGGAATGTCCCTTCCAACTCAAACCGTTCTGGGATTCTGATTCCCTCGCGTCTCTCCCAAGCAAAAGCTATCCATGTATTATTAAGAGGAAGAGGCTGGCTCTATCAAATCATTGCTTTGCGTGAGGAGGACACACGGGCTGTCTTTGCTGGCCCTTCACACTTGATTAATTCATATTTACAACTTTGAAGCTTTGCTTCATCTGAATGGAGCTTCTTGTGATTTACTTCCAATATATTTTCAGAAATGCAGCCCTGGGCTGCCAGCACAGAGAGGAATTACATGAAAAGAAGCTGTGGGTTGGTTCCCAGTGTTTGTTTACTCTTCTTGTAGTAAACAGTAGGTTATGTTGTTTGTGGTGCTTAGTAAATCCCCACTTTGTTAAGTGTGTGTTTGCAAGGAAAGCCTTCCCCCGTGTGTCTGTAGTATGATTATAACAGCAATGTTTTCCTCTGGTTTTCATCTAATTCATTCCATGCATTTCTTATTTTGCCCATCTTTTTATCCCTACCTCTGATTTACACTAACAGAATTTTCTAGTTTTCCTTTGGTTACAAATGCTTTCAGGGCTTTTTTTTTAAATTTACTGATGTGTAGTCTCAGAAATAAGTAGGTACTATCAGTACATCCTTCAAGTTAGGAAAGCATTCCTTTTTGGATTATCTCGCCCAGTATTTTTAAACTGAAATCTGAATCTCTTCAAAACAGATTCATGACATGAAAAACACAAACCGTGGAATAAAAGAATTCTATTCCATGCAAAGAGTAAAATGACAAATCATGTCATAACTGACTCACACAAAATTTTTCCACTCTTCAGACAGTAAAGAACTACATAAATATAGTTTATGTTCATGTGTAAATAAACATAGTAAATAAGGCAATCCTGGTGACAAAAGCCTGAGAAACATACTTATTCCAAAGGGTTTTAAGACAGTATATGAACTTCAATAGGAGTATCTTTTGTGAGGGTTTGTTGGGTTTTTTTTTAAATAATCCTGTAAATTTGTTTCAGGACTTCAAATATTTAAGAAGCCTCAGTTAAAGCAATGCAGGAGAATAATGCCACTGAAGGGAGAAACAGATATCCCATGAACTGATGAGGGGTCCATGAGTTTTGTTTCCTATAGAAAAGGGCCGCTATTTGGGTCCAGGGGCCTGAAACTGGGATTTGGCTTCTGCCTCCGTAAATTATGAACGGTGCAGGATTTCTCTGAGACCAAAGCCACCCTCACCTACAACTCGGGCTGCTCTTGGAGTGCCAAACACCTCTGACAAACTGACATCAGTAACCTGGGGTCACTGAGGGGTACTTGGGCTCCCTGTCACTGAGGGACTTGAGGGGTCACAGCTGGGGAATGTGGATGCCCCGTGTGACGGTGAGGGGCCATGAGGAACAGAGAAGCAGAGGAGGTACCTTGAGTTTCCGTGGGGTGCCATGGAGGAAAGCCGGTGCCCGAGCATCACTGAGGAAGGTGCCACGAGTTTGACTGACGGCAGGGAGGGACACTGAGGCAGAGACAGTGCCTGGAGCGCCGCTACAGTGCCGGGCGGTCACTGAGGGGCCATGGGGGTGCCCTGAGGGAGACGAGACGGGGCGGGGCTGTGCCGCTGCCCGCGGCTTTTCCCGCCGTTGCCCTCAGAGCCCTCAGAGCCGTCAGCGGCGCGATTCGTGAGGGCGGCGCAAGAGAAAAATGATCCGGGCGGCTCGAGAAAAGGTGTTGCAGTGGCACTGGGGCAAATTAGGCGATGTTGCAGAGGGAGGGAGTGTTGGTCAGCCGCCTCAGAAAGCAGCAGAGTGTTTCGCTGGAGCTGCTGAGGGAAAAGTTGAGGCAGTTCCGCCGGGACAGAGTAGCTTGTGAGGGGGAAAGGTGAGGGAGAGCCGAGGGGCTGGTTTTAGGTAAAATCTGAAGTGAATTCTGAGGGACAGAATGATGGGCGTGGAGGGAGAAACTATTTCGTGACGGAGATATTCGAGGAAAATAATAATTTGTATTGATTAGTAACGTATATTGATAACCTATAGTGAACGGAACTTTTGGGGTGAAATCTGAGGTAAATTGTGAGGCACAGAGTTAAATTTCCGCAGGGGAAAGCAGAGTTACCGTGCAGGGAATATTTTGGGGCATTAAATGCGAGGCTTCTTTTGTTCCCCTGAGGGCCGGGGGGGTCTCTGAGGGGCCATGGGGGTGCCCTGAGGGAGACGAGACGGGGCGGGGCTGTGCCGCTGCCCGCGGCTTTTTCCGCGCCGCAGGGGGGCGCCTCCCGCCGTTGCCCTCAGAGCCCTCAGAGCCGTCAGCGGCGCGATTCGTGAGGGCGGCGCAGGCGAAAACTGCTCCGGGCGGCTCGAGGAAAGGTGTTGCAGTAGCCCTGGGGCAAATTAGGCGCTGTTGCAGAGGGAGGGAGTGATGGGCAGTCGCCTCATAAGGCAGCAGAGTGTTTTGGTGGAGTTGCTGAGGGAAAAGTTGAGGCAGTTCCGCCGGGACAGAGCAGCTTGTGAGGGGGAAAGGTGAGGGAGAGCCGAGGGGCTGGTTTTAGGTATAATCTGAGGTGAATTCTAAGGGGCAGTATGAAGTTCTCACAGGAAATGCTAACTTAGTCTGCAGGAGAATTTTTGGGAATTAAATATGAGGTGTCTTGCCTTTCCGTGAAGGAGAAGCGGGTGCCAGAAGTTTTGCTGTGGGCTGTGAGGGGGCGGGAGAAAGAAGCAGGTGATATGGGTTTCTAAAAATGAATAGAATGGAAAAAGAGTAAAAAAAGGCAATTATGGTGCAAGAAACCAAACACTAGAATTACTGTAAATTAGGGATTAATAAAGGAAAGATGTAATGTAGAGAAATAGCGTTTCAGTAGTCAGTTGTACTACCCAAGCAATGCTTAGGAGACAGCATGCAGACCTAACTGGGTCCTTCTTATTTTACAGAAGCCGTCAGGGAAGAACCAGCAGACATCACATAGGATGACGAGGCAAGAGACAGAATGAGAAGAGCTGACTCAAGGTAAAGTGCTTCCACGTGAAACACGCTCGGGGCATAGCATCCCTGAAATTTCAACAGCTAAGGTTCCTAAGAGTGTAATGGGCAAATTCAGGGCAGTCCACCTCACCTTGCACTGGGAAGTCACCCTGTAACCAGGGCTGGGTCTTTGCATTGCAGCTGTTGGCCTTTTGCCATTGGGCTGCTTTGGCTGGCCAGAGAGAGAGGCAGCCCTGTAAGGAGGGTGAGAGCCCCGGTATCCGAATACAAGGAGGCAAATGCAGCACCCCCAGATCAGCTGTGAGTGGGGAAGGGCCTTTTCCCCGTCCCTGGCAGCTTTCAGTTTTCTGGGTTGAGCCACAAAGGGAACAGGGGAAGGGCCTGAAGCATACAACACTGGCATGGGACAAGCTGTGCTTGGAGGCTTTGGAGCAGGCTGGGGGGGGATGTGTGGCCCACTGGTGGTTTGCAGAGTTCCCTCTGAGGCTCTTGGGTGGCCTTTCCCTTCAGTTCCTGGAGCTCCTCAGGCCCTAACTGTGTCCTCCTTGCTTGGCAGAAGGCGTCGAGGGAGAAAGAAGAGACGGCGTGGCAAGAGGATCGGACGCTTCGAGGTCAAGAGTGGAACGGCGTGGCAACACACGGAGCAAGAGGATCAGCAGCTTCGGGGTCAAGAGTGGAACGGCGTGGCAAGACAACGGAGCAAGAGGATCAGCAGCTTCGTGGTCAAGAAGAGGTGGCACGAGGGACACTCTGGGCATAGCATCCCTGGTATTTCCAGGGCGCAGATTCCTAAGAGTCTGCTGGGCACCTTCACGGTGCCCTGTTTTGTGCTGGGCGACCTCCCTGTAACCAGGGCTGGGTCTTTGCGTTGCAGCCGTTGGCCTTTTGCCATTGGGCTGCTTTGGCTGGCCAGAGAGAGAGGCAGCCCTGTAAGGAGGGTGAGAGCCCCGGTCTCTGCCGCCAAGGGGGGAAGTGGAGCACCCCCAGGCCGCCCTGTAAGCGGGGCTGGGCCTTTTCCCCTGGTCCGTGGCTTTGTGCCCCTGGCCAGCGTGTGAGCCCTGTACTCGGGGCGTGTCACAGCCTGCTGTGCCTTGGCCTCCCCTGAATCCTCTGCGCGGGTTTAGGCCCTTGTGGCCTCCCTGCAGCCGCCCCCTGCCCGGGACAGGCCTGAAGCTCTTGGTCTCCTGTTCAGCGGCAGGCAGGCCCCCTGGTCTGTGCACAGAGCTCGCTCCCTCTCCTGGCCCCTTGTCCTTCCTCGTGTGTTGCCCTGTCCACCTCAGTGTGAGTGAGGCGGTGTGAGTGTCCCTTTGTCCCCGTTAGAAACTGAGCAGAGTAGCTTAGGCTTCCCAGGAGAGGAAGAGGAGCTCTGTGACTCAGCCAGGGGTGCCCTGTCACAGCGCGGGCAGAGACAGAGCACGGCCTGGCCCTTTGCTCCTGAGGACAGAGCGATGCCACTTAGTGGCGGCACGGGCTGCGGGCCCCGCCTGTAGCCAGGCCTGGGGCTGTGCCCGTGCTGCGGGGCTGCCTGTCCTGTCCTGCTGGTGACCTGCCAGCGTGCCTGGCCTGCCCTCGCAGCAGGCAGCAGCTCCAGCCCCCTGTAAGCAGGGGTGCAGCCTCTTTGGCAGCTGCTTTGCGAGCCCAGCTTGGTTTGCCCAGAGGACCTCGCTGCCACTGTCACCAGTGCCAGACCTGCGGCCAACGATGAGGTGAGACCGCCTGGACTTGCAGGCTTTGCTGCTGGTGGGGTTGGTTGGGAGAGAGATTTTTCCATTTGGAAATTTCTAATTTCTTTCTGCCCAAGAATTTCCTATGGTGTTTATGGGTGTCATGGTTTTGACAATTGTATTTCTTTTTGCCCCCTCCTTTAGTGTGTTTGCTCATATTTAGAGTGATTGTTTTGGTCTTGTCTCTCAACTTGTTTTTTGTTTTTTACGTCATAAAACCTCTGTATCTCAGTGTTAACAAAATCCTTTTTCTTTTTTCTTCCAGGAACACCAGCTTTGATTTCTTTTCCTTCAATAAAATACCTTTTTTGTGTCTGGTGTGGTGTTTTTCTTACCCCTTTTCCCCTCATGATTTTACACTTGTCCTGTGTTTCTTTGACATTTTCCTCTGTAGTTGTTCAATAAAATACCTTTTTTGTGTCTGGTGTGTTTTTCTTACCCCTTTTCCCATCATGATTTTACACCTGTCCTGTGTTTCTTTGACATTTTCCCCTGTAGTTGTTCAATGAAATACCTTTTTTGTGTCTGGTGTGGTGTTTTTCTTTCCCCTTTTCCTCTCATGATTTTGCACCTGTCCTGTGTTTCTTTGACATTTTCCCCTGTAGTTGTTCAATGAAATACCTTTTTTTGTGTCTGCTGTGTTTTTCTTACCCCGTTTCCCCTCATGGTTTTACACTTGTCCTGTGTTTCTTTGACATTTTCCCCTGTAGTTGTTCAATGAAATACCTTTTTTTGTGTCTGCTGTGTTTTTCTTACCCCGTTTCCCCTCATGATTTTACACTTGTCCTGTGTTTCTTTGACATTGTCCCCTGTAGTTGTTCAATAAAATACCTTTTTTGTGTCTGGTGTGGTGTTTTTCTTACCCCTTTTCCTCTCATGATTTTACACTTGTCCTGTGTTTCTTTGACATTTTCCCCTGTAGTTGGTCAATAAAATACCTTTTTTGTGTCTGGTGTGGTGTTTTTCTTACCCCTTTTTTCCTCTCATGATTTTACACCTGTCCTGTGTTTCTTTGACATTGTCCCCTGTAGTTGTTCAATAAAATACTTTTTTTGTGTCTGCTGTGTTTTTCTTACCCCGTTTCCCCTCATGATTTTACACTTGTCCTGTGTTTCTTTGACATTGTCCCCTGTAGTTGTTCAATAAAATACCTTTTTTGTGTCTGGTGTGGTGTTTTTCTTACGTGTTTTTCTTACCCCTTTTCCTCTCATGATTTTACACTTGTCCTGTGTTTCTTTGACATTTTCCCCTGCAGTTGTTGATTGTGGTGTCATGAGTTGTTTGTCCAGCCTTGGTGTTCCTAAATGCAGGTTTGTTACCATGTTGTGGTGTCCAGATAGGTGGATGCTGCAGCTTAAATATGACGGGCAGATTTCTCTGAATTACCTGAAAGAACATGAGAGTGAGTTGTAATCAAGTGCCTGGCAGCATCTCAAACACCTTAGGCAGAAATGTTTTACCAGATGCTGTTTTGCTTCTGCTTTGGAACATGCTCGAGCTCCCTGAGCCACAGGGAGACATTTCTTCCATTAAATACAGGAGGTGTTTGCTCTTTGCAATGAAGACTTGAACATTTAAGGGAGATTTATTAAGTATGTGTTGTCTTTCCTTGTTTATTCCTGGTGTTCTCAGCTGTGAATTCCTCAGCAATAGGGGAGCAATCTCAGCAAAACCTGATTTTACTCATGTCTGTCGTGCTTTGCAAATTTCAAGAATTTGCAAGTGGCAGGGCCTCCACTGGCTGAGTTTAGGCACAGTAGATAATAATAGCTAATAGAAAGGTAAGTAATTGAAAATAATCGTAGATAATAAATAATTAATGATAATGGATAGTAAGTAATAGCTCAGAGAGATGAGGACTCACAAGCACAGTTGTTTGAGTGCCTGAGTAAGTTCTCACTGCTACAATCTTGAACTTTTTTTCCACTTTCATTTCTTACCTTTTTCTCTCATTGGGATTCTGCTTTCTAAAGCTCAGTGCTGCTTTATGACAGTGCTGTCCATATCCACACTCCTACACTGATACTTCCAAGCAGAGGGTTGGCCTGGACTCAGAAAAACAGGAGTTTTTTAAGGGTGTGTTTTTCTGTGGCAAAATTGCTCCCCAGGGATGGGAAGTGACCCACTTGCTGTCCCCAAAGGTGACAGTGGAAGGGTTGAGGGACTTGGGTTCCCAGCTCTGCTGTGAGATCCCAGACACTCGTGGGTTCTCCAGCCAAAGCAGGAGTGAACAACAAATGGGGGTTGAGCTGCCAGGGTAGCACTTGAACATCTTCAGGCTGCACCCCTGTGCCCCAAACCATTTGTCATGGCGTGGCAGGAATCCCCGAGTGCCCGTGTACAGCAGAGGAGGTTGATGTGGCTGCAGGGCTGCTGCTGATCAGGGTGTGATGCTGAGAAGGGGAACAGCGGGGCTGGCCGAGTGCCTGGAGCAACCACAGCCAGGGGTGTGGGCAGGCAGCGCTGCCTCCTCCTCTTCCAGGCACTCGGCTGTGCTGGGGCAGGAGGGCTCCTCAGAGCAGGGGAAGCCCTTTCTCCCTCAGCCCTGCACATGTGCCATTGTCCCTGCTAACAATGGGGAGAGGAGGGAGCGCTGGAGCTGATGACACAAACCCCAGGGCAGGAGCAGCTGCTGGCTGCTCAAGGGAAGCTCTGTGTGTGCAGCCGCTGCCCTGCCAGGGCTCCTGACAGCCTCAGGGCAGGACTGAGCCCTGTGCGGTGCTAGAAGGGGGCAAAACTGTTTTTATTTATCACAGAATTCCCTGGGGAGCCTGGGCAGTGCCCCATCACCCTCTTCTCTTAATAGCCAACCTAAATCTCCCCTGGCACAGCTCCAGCCATTTCTTCACTTTGTGTCCCTGGTCATCAAAGAGATCAGTGCTGCCCCTCAGGAGGAAGCTGTAGGTTGTATTTAACTGTAGACTCTATTTAACCTGCCACTCTCCAGAGTTTGGGGCTTTCCAGCTGGCTCAGAGCATAGGGACACCCTGCAGGCAGCTGCTTCCTGTGGCTCCCCTCTGGTGCTATTCCTAGGAACTTGCATGGTGGGAGTTAACCATCCTGCCCTAATGGTTCCCTCATAAATAAGGAATGCTAATAAACACTTTCTATTCCTGAAGGCCCAGCAGATCGGAAGAGAATAATCAAGGAAGGTATTTCCACTTTCTGTAACTTGTTAGTCATCTCTCGTGAGACAGAGGGGAAAGTTTGGCTGGGGGTGGCACAGCAGAAATGGTGCCACATCTCTTTTTCTGTCCAGCAGCTTCTCCTTTCCAACGAGAGTATGTTTCCCTAAAACAAAGGGGCTTAAGGTTTATCTGGGAATCAGTTCCCTCTTGGGCCTTCCAGTGCTGCACAGCCCATATCAGCCCCCGCAGGTACTCAGCATTTTAAGGGGAGCGAGAGTGCTGGTGTCAGGTGTTCAGCAGGTGGCAGAGGGGAGTTTCACCATCTGAAGTGGCAGCTTTTCCCAATCCCAGCTCTGTCCAAAGAGCCCATGGGATGTGGCACCTTGCAAAGAGCTTGGAATACAGCCCCTGTGGCTGCTGGCCCTGCAGGTAAGAAACAGGTCTGCAAACAGCCAGGAGTTACCTGCCAGACCTGCTGGGCTCAGCAGAGATGCCTCTCCAGCCCCAGGGATCTCTGCTGAGCTCCTGCCACAGCTCGGCAGAGATCAGGTTTGCAGGGCATAGTGCAGAAAGCAGCTCTCCCAAAAAAAAACAGCCCCTGCCAAGAACTAGCAGGATGTGATAGGAGAGGCAGTGAGGAGGAGGCTGGAGCAGGCAGCCAAGCACCCTTCCCACTCAGTCTGGAGAGCAGATGGAGCAAACTAAGAGCTCTCTACCTCAGTCAACCTCCTCTTCTAGGCTGAGCTGGCTCCTCGTGTCCTGGCTGGCTCCCACAAGGATTCCTGACTTCTGATGAGTTTTTGGTGGCCTTGTGCTGGAGGCAGACAGAGATAGTCACCCACTCCTCAGATGGATATCAGGCTCTGGGGACAACAGCTCTGCTCAGGCAGGACAGCTCCACCGCTGGACTCTTGCCTGGTGGAGCCAAGCGGGCTGGGAAGGCAGCAGGTGAAGCAGAGAGTTACTGGGGAGGGTCCTACACGTAGGGAACGTTCAGTGCTGGCAGCCTCCCAGAGAAGCCCCCTCCACAACGCTCCCACTTTGGGCCACTGGTGTGGCTGGCTGTGAGCACAGAGCTGGGAGCTCCAAGGCAGCTGCAGCATACTGTGTGCAGCAAACGGAGGGAAGGGAGGGACATTCCTGCTGGCAAGTGTGTCAGTGCAGGGCTGGAGCTGTTTGCTCACAGGCACTCCCTAGCCCTGATCACTGTTCGAGATCTTCACTCTCTGGGGCTTCTCTTTATGCAAGACACAGGCACAAAGCAGGTACAGGCTACCACAGCTGGGGCTCTGTGCCAGCCATCTCCTTTGTGACCCAGGCTGATGTGACCCCAGGCCAGTGCTGCAGCAGGAGTCCTGCCTGCCCCTGTTTTCCCTGGCTCTGAGGTGCCTGCAGGAAGCCTGGGAGCACAGTCTCCTCCACCCCTGCTCTGTGCAGCACTGCCACAAAGCCCAGGGGCTTCAGATCTGGGCCGTGCTACATTTAGCATCTGTGGGGCCTCGCTGGGCTCCCGAGGGCCATTCTGTCCCTCCAATCAAGGGCACAGCTCTTCTGCAGCCTCCCTTCCTTGTCCCTTAAAGATGGGGTGGGAAGGGCCTGGGTTTGGCTTAGTGCAGTGAAGAGCAAACCCTTTGCAACCCTCCTGTCTCTGGGGCAAGGGCTGAGCTATGAGGCAAGTGAGCTCTTCCTTGGACTGTGATCTCTGCAGCTCCATCACTGATTCCCAGATGCTCTCCCCTACTCCTCCATGTTGCAACTCCCCAGTCCTAATGGTCTTGGGAAGTGTGTCAGGGTCTGCACAGCACAGCTGCCCCCAGGTCCTGTTGCCCGTGTCCTTACATCACTTCCCCCCCGCAATTGGCAGTGTGGGAGCAAATGGTTGCTGTGTGGGCATTGCTTTGAGCAGGACCCAGGGTGTGCTGCTGTGCTGTGATTCACGAGCAGGGAGAGACTCTCCAATTCCTGTGTTTGGGATAGGCTGAGGGCAGGGCAGAGATGTTCCTCTTGGGAAGGATGTGCATCCACCTTTCTCAGAGAAGAGTGTCTCCTGCAGCAGGATGTCCTTGGGCAAGGCCAGGTTTTAATTGCTGCAGCATCACCAGACACCCGAGTCATGGTGCCCCTCAGAGCCTCTGCTCCCAGCCTGCCTCCTGCAGCTACTGAGTTATTGAGAGCAGTGAATTTCCCCGCAGGGACCCCCACCTGTCCTGCCTTTCTCTCCAGAGAGGATCCAGGGGCAGTTTGGCTGCTCTGAGCTCCCAGAGGAGCTGTCTGTCCTGCCTCTGCCGGCTGGTCTGTCTGTCCTGCCTCATCCTCTCGCTCCTGCTGGTGTCTGCACTGCTGTGCTGCACTGTGCCTTGTCCCCCTTGCTGTCTGTCTCCCTGACTGACACCTGCCACTGCAAGCACCGCCTGCCCCCCTCTCCACCGGTCTGTCACTATTAGCTTGTCTCCTCCCTTTCCTCTGGCTGCTGTCTGGAGGCCTCTGCATTAGGTGTGACTTGGGTGCTTTTTTCTGGTTTATGGATAGCAGCCAGGCTGCAATCTGCAGCAAAAAAACTATCCAGTCTTTTGCAAGGAGCCTCCTGCAAATACCTGGGCAGGACAGTGGCTGCCAGCACTGCCCAGAAACTGCACACTCACGCCTGCCTCCACAGCACCACAGCCAGAGACTGAAAGGCAGCCCAAAATCTCTTGCAATAGGACTTGAGTCA